TGAGAGCGGTAGATAGAGGGAAAGAGAGAGAGAGAGAGAGAGAGAGAGAGAGAGAGAGAGAGAGAGATCAGTCCAGTTTTTGGCTGGAACATGAAAAGCAAAGAAAAACAAAAAAAACAAAAAAATATTTTCATGGAGCTGATGGAGTTTATTATTAATGCAGAGAGGACAAAGCTTCACCACCTGAGCCCTCACACACACACACACACACACACACACACACACACACCACACCCACCACTCCACACACACCCACAACAACTACACACACAACACACACACACACACACACACACACACACACACACACACACACACACCTTTCCAGTCTAAACACAGAACACATGTCATCTTGATGTTTCATTATCCTCAGTGCTCCTGTGAGATGGAGCTGCAGCCTGCTCCCAGACACACCACAGAGGCAGAAACACAACTGCAGCACACATTTATTCTCAGCTACAACAGAAGCGGTGCAGGTTTCATTTTCACTGAACACGGTAGTGATGCTCTCGCCATTTTTGGAACAAGGCAGGATATCCTCAGTGAAATGCAAAGCAGACTGTTACTGCACTGAGTAATGTTCAGTGTTGGTTTACACTGGTCAGGCACCATGAGCATCACAGAGCATGAGGCTGATTGTTCAGCAGGCTCCAAACACATGGAAAATCTTTTACCAAAGCAACAACATGCACAGTGCAAAGAGCAGTCGTGTAAAAAAAAAAAACAAGCAGTTCATCTTCTGAGTTCAAAATATGTCAATTTTCAGATTTGTAGGATTGCGACTGACACTTCAACATCAAGTGTTTTAGTTGATTGATCAGTTTCACTGGTCAAACTTAAACATGCTTTTTTTTTTTTTCTAGACATTTATACGATTGCGACAGAGAGCGAGGTGGGATGGGGTGGATGCTGGCGTGGTGGCTGGAGATGACAACAAACTCCTCAGTCGCACTTGAACCAGGAATGATGTGGTTGACATTTGACACCTTCAGCTCTCATCATAGTCCTCGAGGAAACCCGCCGTCACCACACAAAGAGTCATGACAGGTGCTGATGTGTCTTCCTGTCTTCTACGTGTTTAGATCGAAGTTAATGGAATATAACAGTGTAATATAACCAACCCTTCCTCCTCTCCTCTATCTTCCCTTCATTCCTTTCCTTTCCTCCTCTCCCCTTTGCCTTCCCCTCTCCCCCATGTCTTGTCTCCCAGCAGGTGGTGACACACTAAATCAGTGGTTCCCAACCTTTTCCAACTCATGGCCCACTTGAAAATCTCAAAAATGTTGGCGGCCCCATAACAACACAAGTATACACACCAAAAACAATCTGGCCCAACCAAATCATCTCAAAACAAAAAGAAAATTATATGAATTATTGGAATGAAACCACCAAATCACAAAGTAAATTAGAATTCTATTTGACCCTAAACAGAGAGTACATGGTGGCAGAGTACCTGACCACTGTGATTGATAGAAAACTAAGGAAAACGCTGACAATGTACAGACTGAGTGAACACAGCATGGCCATAGAAACAAGCCGTCACAGGCAGAACCAGGGAAGCCAGGCTGTGTTCACTGTCATAAAAGAGAAGTTGAGACAGAATCTCACCTCCTAATGTGACAAATATAAGGATCTGAGAGAAGTTTTCTTTGAAAAAATAAATCATATATATCCTGAATTTATCCACCTCCCCAGTCTTCAGAAACTGTCCTATCTATGTGGAGAGAAAAGTCAATGTGCAGTAATAGCTGCAAAATATGTCAAATCTTTTAATCTGAGAGAAACAAGCTCTGTAGTACATGTTTCTGTGTGATTACATCTGTAAAAATGGCCTTTTATTATATTGTATTTAATATTATTGTATAATCATTAATCAATCACTTGTCAATGTTTATAATTTTCTGTACTGATTTGGCAATAAAGGTTTCTGTCAGCAACTTAAATGTTCCTGTTACTGGCTTTAACACGAAAAAATAAATAATCAAATAAACAAACAATAAAACGAATTTCTAAACATTTTTAATGCTTTTAAAGATTATTTTGTTTTAAGATATTTAAAAAATGTATATTTTAATTTTATTTTTTATAATGACATTTTTTCACCAAAAATGTTCTGTTTTGCAAATGATTTGTCGGCCCACCTGCAGTACCTTCGTGGCCCACAGGTCAGGAACCACTGCACTAAAGGTTCCTGCTGGGAACATCACTGTGGTCTAAACTCTGGGCAGCTGGAAACAGCTCTGCCGTGCACTGCTGAGGGATTGTGGGAAAAATGATATTTCATCATATCAGCATCTCAACAACTACAACTACAAGCCACCTGGGTAATTGAGCAGAAAACGACTAAACCAACAACACACCCACAACGCCTGCTGACGGACACCAAGGAGGGGGCCAGGAGGGAGCAGATACCTGGAGTCAGGCACAGAGGACATCTGGCTACATGACAACATATGGTGCGAATCCACCATCAGGGCGCTTCAAACCCGCCGTGGAGCCGTTTGAAGCCGGTTCGTTTGATTTGAGGCATCAGCACTAAGTGGAGCCATCTGTGGAGTCCCCAGATTATCATCAGAGTCCAAGTGGGCTCGATCCTCATTCTGTTTTTCTATTTATTCTGCATCACTGCTGCTCAGTGCTCGTTAGTGGTGCTGCACTGCAGGCCGCACAGACCACCTGTCAATCAAACGGTGAGGGTGGGACCGAGATACACCCAAACATTACAGTGATGTCATTCCAAATCCAGTGAACCAACCAATTAATCAGCCTGATCACCAAACGAGAACATTGACACTGGACAGTTTCTTCCTACAGTTTCTGGGACAGTTCTGGTGTAGCTATGGTTAGTTTAGGTTAGTCAAGGTTAGATAAGAGTTGTCAAGGTTAATCAAGGCACAAACAGACTGAAGGTGAAAAATGACAAATAATCTTCTGCAGCTTCCTTCTCTAAAAGTCCAGAGGGAAGCTCAGTGCGTACACCTTAGAGCAGTGCTTCTCTGTTGCTCTGCAGCGTTCTATCTAACGTCAGCAGACAGGAAGTGGAAAAGCATGTCGATGCTGTCAGTTATGAAACGTTGCAGCCTTCCGACTGAACAAATTGAGTGATCGGTTCAACCAAAACAATGATTTTGGTGTCAGCTCCTTTCATTTCATTCACAGAAAAATAATCAGTGCTTCACATGAAACAGAGAGCATGATAACAGTGGGAAAATTTTCTGACATATTGTCCTGTGTCTGTATGATGAGGAAGGACATTAAGGCTGAGATGATGTACTGAACTTGCATGAAACAAAATTATTATTATTATCAGCTATTCTCCAACAAAAGACTCTATGATTATTGTTATCCATTGATCTGTCAAACATACCATCTCAACTCTCTCAGCCTGATTACATTTCTCTATAAAAGCATCAATGATCAGATAGTGATTTCCTCATCTTCAGTTTACATCACATCCAGACTTTAAAGAGCTAAATTAAGGATGAAAAGGAAGAAAAATTAGAAGAATTCACAAGGGGAAGCAGACAAAAGCAGCAAGTTAAAGTGCTGTGATAATTCAGGTCCCACTAAACCACTCTGACGTGTCCACTTTGTCTTGAACAGGTAGAAAAACACACAGGCCCTGGCTGGTCAAGGTCTTATCTAACAGCTCAGCACTACAATATGTTTTTTCCCCTGAAAAATTGAGAAGGAGTGAATATTTCTTGGTGTTGTTCAGTCTGAAGTTTAGTCCTGGCAACCATCACCTGAACAACAAAAAACGTCAGATAAAGGTGAATGACAAAAACGGGAAAGAGTTTCCAGTTCACTCACATACAAGAAAGATTTCATATTCATTTAAACAAATAAGAATATTACGATCTGACCTCAAACACACCACAACCCTCTTGTTGAGTGCCTAAAACTTTCTTCTTCTATTGCTAAGAAGCCCAAAAAGCTAAATATCCTCACTGTTAAATCTCGGACCACGGCTGAGCAGAGGCACAAAAAGACAACAACCTAAACACAAAAATGTCCAAATCCCAAAACACCAAGTAAGTGGAGTGTGGGAATTTAGATATCTGCCCTCCAACTCTGTCTTCCATGTTTATTCCATTTGTCCTGCTCCCTCACTCTTTCCCTCCTCTACCTCCTCTGGGTGTCCTCCCACCCTCCCCATCATCCCTCCATTACCAGTTATTGTCTTTGCCCATGCAGTTACTGACCCGTTCCCAATTACTCTTAATGTGTTTTTGTCTCCTTGGTCAAGGTGAGGCCGACAGGAAACAGGACTTATGGGTCGGAGTCCATCAGCCAGCGGAGCAGTTACTCAGTTTTACATCCACACTTAAGATCAGACTGTTCTTACAACAGCTTCATGATACAGTTCAACTTGTTTTCAGCTAATTACAGTAAAGTCATGGAGATCAGGCTGAATATTCTGTGTTCACTATGAAGCTGAGTAAGACTCTTTCAGACATGAGGAGGTACCGACTCATCTAAGCGATGCAGGTTGTCATTCAGATGTTAATGTTCCTGACATATCCATGTGTGCTGTTAAAGCCGAACACTACTTTGTTCAATTCAACATTGTGCACACACTTTATTCATTCTTTCCGGATGTTTCACCTCTGCTTGACAAATGTCGGCTGAAGTTGCTCGATCACACAGAACTAGATTTCAGAACAGAGTGGATCAGGAACACTCTGACATCAGGACTTTTACACACTCTGACACATTAGTTTCCAAATTTTTCACCTGGAAATTTGATTATTTTTTAAATTTCTCTTAGTAATGTTTCAGTGGAGGTGTTTTCCCAATAAAGTCAAGTCCATATCACAAATGACAGATTTACCTCAAGGGGCTTTACAGCATAGACACCCTCTGTCCTTGGACCCTTAAATCAGATAAGGAAATACTCCCCAAACAACCCCACTGTCCTCCCTCTGCTCCTGCTG